AGAGACTAACAAAACATGTAGATGATATCATGAGCTTTCATGGGCACAACCCACTTCTTCAGATGAAATATTTTTGCTTGGAGAGGCATTTCAAATGGTTTTTTTAATTTTATTTATTTACTTATTTATTATTTGTTAGACACAACACAAATCCCTGGCTATTTCCATCAGTGTATTCACATACAGTTTTTCATATGTTCTTTGTTTGTCCCATCAACTATTTTTAACACCTTATCTGAAGAAAATACTGCTTAGTTACAATTTAAGTGCTTTCACATGAAATTTGCTTCTGTACCCAATGCAGTATTTGCCATTATATTGTGTGGTGCATTCCCATCTAAAGTCACTGAATTCTCATTTACATGAACCAAATCAGAGACCTTTTTTTCTTTAACTTTTGTTTTGCCTATCACTTAGTGTACAAAATACGTATGTGGAACATCTACCATTGAAATTCCCTCTCATCCCACTCAAAGACTGAAGACATGATGAGGGAAAAACAGATTTTGAATCATGTCTTGACAGTTAACTAATTCATATTCTGTTAAATGAGGAGGAGGAATTTCTGATTTGAGGTTTCACTGAAAATATCGTGATACCAGTCCCATTCTATTTAGCTCATTTTACTGTGCATAAAGAGAGGCTTCCTAAAGCCACCAGCCGCCTCAAAGCACATAGGCAATAAGAAATTGTTTTTACTTATTGAATGCTCAGTATTTTCACATTTGAATATTACAAGAGAATGGCAAAACTTTAAATCCATGTGAGTAGAATGAGAGAGAATGGAATTTCCCCAGTATAACTACCAGGAAATGTTTTAGCCTACCTAGGTTGCTTAAAACAACACTAGCAAAACAATCTTTACTTCCTTTCTGGATGGGTTTCAAAAGTGTACCAAGGTTCACTTGAAAGGTATGCTACCTTATCTATAGTGAAAACAAGTACAATTTCCATTTTTCTCACACTAACTCTTCCTTAAGCTAGCATGAGAACCAAGTAAAACTATACATGGAACTTTTCAGCAATACAGGAATTAAAGCAACATAAACACAGTAAAACTCACTTTGATACATAATGATCTCTGATCCAATCGTATTGCAGTAATGAAAGTGCATGTACAAGACTTTTTGCACTATATCTAGGCCAAAGGCGGCCTTCTTCCTCTAGTCTAAGGAATGATTTAATTTTAACGAAAGCAAGGATTGTGATGCATTTTTTTATATGCCCATACATACAGCAATGCTAGTAGGCAACTTTGGAGTTCAGGGGTCAGCAACCTTTCTGAAGTGGCATGCCAAGATTTAACCTTCCTTCCCTGGGCAACGCTGCTCTCCTGGAAGGTGTGGGAGAGGCTCTCTCCACAGTCTGCCCTGCTTGATCTCCTGCTCGGTATTTTGCTCTGGCTTTTCCTTTGGAGAAAGAAGGAGCAGCCCACACTTCCTCAAAAGATGGATGCAGTGTGGCACCTCGGGGCTTCCCTCCCATCCCCTGCAGGAAGCATGCACTGGCTCTAATCTTATGGGGGGGGTTGCGATACTGGACCACCAGCTCAGGCTGGGTTTAGGGTGCCTCAGGGGAGGAGGCTCAGGAAAATGGACAATGCGGAGGTATGTTAGCCGATGGTCAGGGCTGTGTGTGTGTGTGTGTGTGTTACACCCGAGTCTTCAACTGCTGGGACACAAGGCCCCGTCACAGTGGGCAGTCTAGGAGAGACTGACAGGCTCCCCAAGGAGCTTAACGTCCGTGTATTAGTCCACTAGGATCGGGATCCCGTCGTGGAGGGCAGCCAACAGGCCAGGGCCGGTCCCTCAATTCCTAGGAAAGATAAGTAAGAGGTGGGCATCCCCGTGGAACCTCAGGAGACCAATCACCTAACCTGACCAGCAGATAGATGGTAGATTGACGCTCAGAGTAAGTGTGCTGCTGGACCCATCTTTATACCCATAGGAGCCCGTATCCTCTTTCTTATCTAAGATGCCAAATTGTGTTGGTCCGTCTTTGTGACGCCAGTTCTTACAAGGGAGTTTCAACTTAATTTACACTTGCAAGAGAGATAACTAAATTGTGAGTACTGAACATTCTTTACTGGGAGAGAGATTTCTCCCCCCGTGGATGGCTGTGTATTCGTATCAATATAGGGTTCAGTCAAGGGCACTCCTCTGCAGCCTCTTGGTCAGCAATTGGCATATCTCTGTTTACAGTCATCCAGGGTCACAGCAGCCTGCATATCCGGGCCTTCTGTCAAGGATCTTACTGCTCTGTGTGCCCTGTATGCTTCCAGGCAAGCAAAGATGGATGTTACAGGGGGGTTCCTGTCTGGCTACAAGGTAGTGGAATGGGTGACCCCGGGATATCCAGCTCTGCTGTGGGGCGGGGTCCTGTGGGGAGCCAGTCCATGGTGCCCTCACCTTCCTTCCAGGCACCCAGGGGCCAACACAGCTTAGGCGTAGGGGGACACTCCCCCATGCGTTTTCCTCTCTCCTCAGCCGCCCCTGCCACCGCCCAGCCCTGGAGAGGCAGCCCGGGCAAGAACTCACCCTCTAGCATGAGCCCGGCAGTAGCGGTGCCGGTGGCTGCGTGTGACTTCGACACTGTCTTTAGCCTACTTGCCAGGGGCACTGCAAGGTAGAAAGGGAAGAGAGTGGAGCAGGGAGCTCTGAGGCTGCAGGGCTGGGACTGAGCAACAGGGGTTGGAGGTGGCGGGGACGGGACTTGCAGGTGAAGGTTGCAGAGGGACTGAAAGCTGGCTCCGCACTCCCACTCTCTCTCCTCTGAATCAGGAAAACAGCACTGCAGAGCGAGTCCCCCTCCTCCCTGCAGCTGCCATGCCCCAGCCTAGCTCCAGCCTGCCCCCAACAGCCAGCTCGGGGGTGCCTGCTCCCCAGTGTGGTCTAGCTGTCCCTGGAGCAGCCCCAGCCCCCGGAGCAGCCCCTCTCTTCCATGCGGGCTGGTCACCTCTGGAGTAGCCATCTGCCATGCAGCTCTGCTAGCTTGGCAATCTGGCTGCCACAGAACAGGAACTGGGGCCATGGTGAGGCTGCCCCAGCAGGCCCGGCACCACAGCCCGGTTCCATCTGCAGCTCCCAGAGCAACCAGGGTTGCCAGTAGGGATGTTAAATATCGGTGAATTGAATAGTTGAGTAACCTCATGAATTCTAATCCATTAGTCAACTATTCTATAGTCCCCAGGGGCAGGGCCAATAACAGTGCAGAGTGCCAGGCAGGGAGCCAGTCTGCGAGAGAAGCCAGTTTAAAAACCAGCTCCTCTTGTGGGCTGACTGCTTGTTGCCCTGTGCTGCTGCCTTTGATAAACAGGCAGCAGTGCGGGGTGGCAGCAGCCCCTTTTTGGGGGTGGAGGGGGAGGAGGTGGTCTGAGCTCCTGGACCCAGTGTGAACTGGAACTGAGCTGGGCTACCTGCCCACCCGGCTCCTAATACACTTTAAATGAAGAGCCACAGAGGGGGTAGGTCCTGGATCCGGCATCAGCCAGAACTGAGCCAGGCTGCTGGCCAGCCTGCTAAAAATGTACTGGTTTGAGAGGAGGAAGGGAAATGCCTGTAGTCCCCAGCATTAACCTGTAAGCTTTTGCTTATCGGTTAATTGACTACACTGTTACATCCTTGGTTGCCAGAGGAGCAGCTGCCCCAGTCCCAGTTGCTGGAATCCCAGCCATTGGAGGAGCTTGCCCAGCTGAGCCCCCACATGCCCACCACCACCACCAGCAGCCCAATCTGCAGCCTCCCCTCCTGCGCCCCAGAGATGGTGTTGCCGTTGTGCACCATCCACAAGTCTCCAGCGGCAGGACAGGCTCTCCACTGTGCGTTGAAGGGACTGTCTGAGCTCCCGCTGTGTGTGCCACTCAAAATTGGCTCACGTAGGTTGCCGACCCCTGCTATAGCTATTCTGTTAAAACTGACAACTTTTACATTATCTGTATAAATATATAAAATAGGTATAAAATAGGAAGATATCATTGTGTTTATAATGTTCCCAGATGGCATTATAGAAGTTGAAGGATAAAGCTTTACCAAATCTGTTTGTTTTTAAATGATAGTTTACACTTAATTTCCTTTTGGTATATTTCCTTTTGCTGTGTTCTATGCTTAAAAAAAACCCTCAAATTCCTAAAAGAGCTTTCTTTGTGCTCTTTAATATTAATGAATATTTTCAGAATAATTGGGTGTTTTTTTAATGTGTTCTACAAAGATGGAACCACTAATAGATTTTTAGATGGTCATTAACTAACTCTTTACTGAAATTACATGCGCTGAAACAAGAATAGTGAGAGCATTTTAAAACACAAAAGGTGTAGTATAACACGTCAGAAATGTATTGACGTTTGTAAGCGTGGCACAGAAATGTACTCATCAAACTTAGTCATGAAATAACTGAGTTCTTTGAGGCTATCGCTCTGTGCCACAGGGTATTGAGGCTGCACAAGAACAGTAAGAGATCTTCCAATCTTCTGAATACCTGTAAAGTAATCAAGGAGACTTTGTAATCTGCTTAAATAATAGAGAATGTTTTTTTCCCTTCTCCCTTGAGAGAATCCACTTTCCTGATCACCTATCTAGCCACATGCCCTTGCTCTGGCAGGAAACGAATAGCGCTGTCACTGCCAGCTAAAATTACTTGTTCCCTGAGAAAAGAATTATGGTAGATAGGATTGTTTAAAATCCACTGTATTGGAAAGATAAGATCTTCATTCACCCATTGCACTGAAATGACTTTTCCTTGAAATTCAGTTCGTAAATTTTTTAAAAGAATTGAATTTGGTCCAGTTTTTCAAAGGAGTTCCACACTGGGTTTAATCTTTTCTCTTTCCAAATCTTTTCCCAGTTTGATCTTGCTTTGATTCAGATTATAAATATAACAAATGTACAAAGAAAGTATGTTGTCTATTCATATTTTGTGAAAGTTACAGTACAAACAACATACAACTTGCAGATACACTCCAAGTTTATGGTGGTGACCACATTTTTTTTCTTTTGTTTTGGCAGCAGCAGGATGGAACTGAAAGAAGGAAACATGCTGACTAATGCGCCAGAATGAGACTGTTTCCTGCTTTGTGAGCTATATACCAGGACCATGTATTCACTCCTTGGCTTCATGGTTTAAGAACCTGCACAGTGATTGTGAAGCTTGTTGGGAAGCCATGGCATTCTTTACTCCATGGAAACTATCCTCTCAGAAACTTGGTTTTTTTCTGGTGACTTTTGGCTTTATTTGGGGAATGATGCTTCTGCATTTTACTATTCAACAGCGAACTCAGCATGAAAGCAGTTCAGTGCTTCGTGAACAAATATTGGATCTCAGTAAAAGATATATCAAAGCACTGGCAGAAGAAAATAGAAATGTGGTTGATGGGCCTTATGTTGGGACCATGACAGCATATGGTGAGTGAATATTCTAGAATACTTGGAAGCTTCCTTGAAAATTCTAGTAAATTTGTTCTTTCATTGCATTTTTCAATGGGGATGTTAAAATGCCTTTATTAAAATAAACGTATATCCACAAAAAAATTCAGCGGTTACATGGTTACACCTGGAGGGGGGCAGCCAGCTCCCCAGGAGCTGGTGTTTGCAGGGAGCCATTTTAAAAGCTTAAATTACAGAGTTGGAAAGCCTTTGCTTTCTTCAGTGGAGCTATACAGTTTCCATAAGAATGGATGGTTGTGGGGAAGAAATGCACCATTTAATTCTGTAACTGTAACATTTATATTCAAGCATAGCAATAAACATTTGCCTTTAGAATAGGAACTCCAGAACTGCATTGATTCTCTTTTAAAATAATTATGTGTACTAAATGATGGTGATGGGTTTTCTGTCCACCAGACAGAATATAACCAGTCATCAATAGGAACAATCAATTCACTTTCTCACAAATCCTCAACTACTCTACGATCTCCTATTTTAGTCTGCACTTTCTGTATTCAGGCTCAGCTCTGCCTCTGTGGTTTGAATGTGATGCTTCAGTTTTTTTCTATTTTTACAGAAAAATTCCAAGCTAAGATTATTAATAGCTGGCAGTGACCAAAGCAATGCCAAGCCTTTCCATTGGCTGAGAACCAAAGTTTTAGTTTTTCAGACTTGCCAGAGAGATCTTCTGAAAATGTTCTAGTTTCAGTTAACATTATTCTTTTTTGTTGAAAGATGAATTGGATAATATATAAAACCTTGCAAAACCCAGAACCTGAGAGAATGCATGGAAAATACATAGAAAAGTGTCAGTAGTACAAGGGGAAGGTGCTGGAGTTTTAAATATGCCTAAAAATTACACAAATGTCTTAGAAACACCATACAAATTGTCACCAGAATGCATCATATTCCTGTGATAATAAACTTGAAGTTACAGCAGCTGGGTTTACACTGAAGAGGATATAAACAGCAGAGAAAGATCAAGTATGTGTTGCCCCAACATTCAGCAATACTGGGCTGGAGAAAGCAAGTGAATATGCCAAATATCAGAGATGATCCCAAACAGAGATCCAGTTTAATTCAAGGAAGTCATATTTATTGGAAAAATCCAAAGTTGCATACCTTGCTGATAAATTACAGGTTGAACCTCTCTAGTTTGGCAATCTCTGGTCTGGCAACATCCATAGTCGGGCATGATTTTTTGTTAGCTAGATGTCTACTTATTATGGATGTGGCCAGGTTTCCCGCAGTCCAATAAAATTTGTTTACAGCCACCAGTCCTGTCTCTCAGTGTTCTGTGCTGTTATTTAGCTCAAAGTTACCCTTAAATTTCTTCCAAGAAGAAATTTTGGTAATGCTGCTAAACAATTTTGAACTTCCGTGATCCAGCAAATTCTCTGGTTCGGCACCGGTCAGATCCCAAGAGTGCTGGATTAGAGAGGTTCAACCTGTACTTATTTTGCTTAGGTGGAGAAAAGTAAAACCTTTTATTGACATGGTGAAGCTTCGGTTTCATATGGAACACTCATCTAACAATGGTTCTGAAACATGCTTCCATGACATTGTATTAGGAGATGGAAGGGACCCGTTAGAGTTGTAAGCACTACCCTCATGGGCTGAGAAAGTAGGCTTGTATGGCTTGGCAGATTCAGTTTTTGCATTGGGTGGAGCCGTCCTTAGACTTGTGCTTCACCCATTCCCTACAGCAGGGAGAGGAGGACACCTCTTACCACTTTTCCAGCAAAATGGCAGATGGATTCAATGTAGGTAAATGCACATTGGAAAAATAATCATGTACAAAATGATGGGTTCTGAATTAACTGCAAGCATTCAACAAAGAAATCTTGGAGTCATGCTGACTAGTTCTCTGACATCTGCTCAGTGTACAGTGGCAGTAGAATATGTTAGGAAACATTAGGAAAAGGATAAATAATAAAATAGAGAATATCAGTGTTATTATTTAAAAACATAAGAACTGCCATACTGGGTCAGCGCAATGCCCCATTTGTCTCCATATCTTGTCTCTGATAGTTGCTGGTACCAGATGCTAAAGGGAATGAAAAGAACAGGGTCATTTCAAGCTATCATCCCTTATTGTCCAGTCTCAGCTTTTGGCAGGTGGAGGTTTGGGACATCCTGAACGTGGAGATCCATCCCAGTCATCTTGGCTAATAGCCACTGATTGTACTTATCCTCTATGAACTTATCTAACTAGATTTAAAAAAGAATTGTATGCTTAGCTCCACAACATTTGATGGTTTCGCAGGTCGACTATGTGTTCAGTGACACAGTACTTTCTGTTGTCTTTTAAGCCAGCTCTCCGAGTGTGCCAGATCTGTGGAGCCACCTGCCCCCTGCCTTGCTGTCTCGCATAGAGGCAGCGTGGAGGGGGAAGTCGGGATGTCAAATTGCGGTTATCTGACTAATCGTGTAGTCCATACAATTTGTATTGACTACACAATTAGTTGATAAGGACTGCTGTGCAGAGCCACTGTGGGGGTAGCTCTAGGAGCCGACTCGAGCCGGGACTGAGCAACTTCAGCTCATGCTGGCTCCGGAAGCCATCTATGCTGTGGCTCTACATTTTAAATATAGTAAGAATGGCCAGGCTCTTAGTCCATTCAAAATACAGAGGCAAAGCATCCTGGACTAGCACGAGCCCGCAACTGCTTGGTCCCGGCTTGCGCTGAGTCCAGCAGCCCCTGTTCACTGCAGACAGCCCTGTCCGCTGTGAATGGGCTGCTTTGATACCAGGCCCTGTTTGTGGCAGCCATGGCCAGGAGCTACTTAACAACAGCAGCACCTGTCTACGGTGGAGGCCCAGCTCCCCGCTGGGACCCCTGCTACCATGGATTGCTGCCAAAGCAGCCTCTGCCCACAGCAAGCCTCAGGAGCTTTCCCTATTCCCCACCCCCCAGCTGCTTCTGATAGAGGCAGTGGAGAGGGCACAGGTGGCACAGCTCCTGTCCCCCTACCCTCTCAGAGTCAGCAAAGGGGGGGAAGCAAGTAGTCAATGACTTGCAAACTTTCCTGGGGGGGTAGGCAGGAGCGGGTGCTCAGGAAGAGGTGCCTTCCCCATGAGCTCCATTTTTGTTGGGCTACTTCCCTTCCCCCACGCTGCAGCTTCTGTATGACAGGTAGCAGCGCAGGATAGCAGGGGGCCAGGCCAGGAGTGCACTGGCTGCTTCTCCTGCCCCCAGGGACTATTGCATAATTGTGTAACCACCTAAGATTTGGTATGGTTATCATAGAATCATAGAATCATAGGACTGGAAGGGACCTCGAGAGGTCATCGAGTCGAGCCCCCCGCCCTCAAGGCAGGACCAAGCTCCGTCTACACCATCCCTGACAGATGTCTATCTAACCTGTTCTTAAATATCTCCAGAGAGGGAGATTCCACCACCTCCCTTGGCAATTTATTCCAATGTTTGACCACCCTGACAGTTAGGAATTTTTTCCTAATGTCCAATCTAAACCTCCCCTGCTGCACTTTAAGCCCATTACTCCTTGTCCTGTCCTCAGAAACCAAGAGGAACAAATTTTCTCCTTCCTCCTTGTGACACCCTTTTAGATATTTGAAAATCGCTATCATGTCCCCCCTTAATCTTCTTTTTTCCAAACTAAACAAGCCCAGTTCATGAAGCCTGGCTTCATAGGTCATGTTCTCTAAACCTTTAATCATTCTTGTCGCTCTTCTCTGTACCCTTTCCAATTTCTCCACATCTTTCTTGAAATGTGGCGCCCAGAACTGGACACAGTACTCCAGCTGAGGCCTAACTAGTGCAGAGTAGAGCAGCAGAATGACTTCACGAGTTTTGCTTACAACACACCTGTTGATACAACCTAGAATCATATTTGCTTTTTTTGCAACAGCATCACACTGTTGACTCATATTCAACTTGTGGTCCACTATGACCCCTAGATCCCTTTCCGCCATGCTCCTTCCTAGACAGTCGCTTCCCATCTTGTATGTATGGAACTGATTGTTCCTTCCTAAGTGGAGCACTTTGCATTTCTCTTTATTAAACCTCATCCTGTTTACCTCTGACCATTTCTCTAACTTGCTAAGGTCATTTTGAATTATGTCCCTATCCTCCAAAGAAGTCGCAACCCCACCCAGTTTGCTATCATCTGCAACCTTAATAAGCGTACTCTCTATCCCAATATCTACATCATTGATGAAGATATTGAATAGTACGGGTCCCAAAACAGACCCTTGAGGAACTCCGCTTGTTATCCCTTTCCAGCAGGATTTAGGTTACACGATTATTAAATTAAACTATATCTAACATCCTGCTGTTAGTTTCATCAGTTGTTATTGAAGTGGTAAATAATATTTACTGACTTTCTCCAGGCCTTCTGTGGTTTTATCTGTCACCCCTCCTTAGTTGTCTCCTGGAAACTGAACAGTCCCAGTCATTTTATTCTTCCCTCTCATAGAATCTGTTCTGTACCCTGAATCATTTTTACTGCCCTTCTTTTCACCTTTACCAGTTCTAGTGTATCGTTTTTAGATAAGGTGACCCGAACTGCACGAAGTACATCAGATGTGGGCATACCATTTATTTACATAACTCAGCAGTTCTCAACCTTTCCAAATTACTGTTTCTTTCTCAGGAGTCTGTGTCTTACATACCCCATGTTTCATCTCACTTAACTCAAACTTTGGTTCAGCCCCATCTGGTGGAGTTTGGAGTTTGGCTTTCTGCCATGGGCCCCTGAAAGTTTAATGCTGGCTCCTATGACCCTATTAAAACAAACTCACCCGAAGTCTGAGAATCCCAGATCTATGTAGAACAGGACAAATAAGTCATTGTCTATATGAAATTTTAGTTTGTCAACTTTGTTAATGCTTTTTCTGTAGCCTTTTCTAACACTAGGCAAATAACTAGACGAGTTAGTGTACCCCCTGAAAGATCCTGGTTGAGAACCATTGACATATTGGCATTAAGGTATTTTCTGTCATGTTATATAGCCCT